GAGTGCGCCGGCGTGGGGGCCCGCGACCACTGCCTGCTCTGCCGCAACCACACCAAGGTGGGCCGCCCAGGCCTCGGGCCTGACCCCGGACCCGGCCTTCCTTGCCTTCAGCCCATGTTCCGGCATCTTGAGCCTCAAACGGGGCTGGGGGATGGCATGACCCTGTCCCAGAGAGGTGTGGGAAGGCTTTGGGGACACCACTCGGGTTGGATTCACAGAGGGACTGCCTTGGAATAGTGCACAGTTGGTGCTGGGCCAGGGAGGGTGGTTACGTGGAGGAGGATTTGGAATAGTTTAGGGAAGGGGCTCTCTGAGCTCAGCACCTTGGGTTGTAAGGACTGACCCGCTGCCACTGGAGGTGCGTAAGTGAGGGTGGCAGGGGGAAGCAGATAGGCTGGGATTGCCCACGCCAAGTGCCGAGCCTGCTGCCCTTTTGTGGGAATCTCAGAACCTAGGACCTCCCACTGTCGTGCTCCGCACCCCCGTGATTCTCCAATCCTTCTGACCACATTGTCCCTGGCTTCCAGGGCAGCCACTGTGAGCAGTGCCTCCCGCTGTTCGTGGGTTCTGCCGTGGGGGGCGGGACCTGCCGGCCCTGCCACACCTTCTGTCGTGGCAACAGCCACGTCTGCGTCTCCAGGAAGGAGCTTGAAATGGCTTGGAGGGAGCCAGAGAAGTACTCCCTGGATCCAGAGGAGGTGAAAGGGGCTGGGATGTCGAACTCCTGGGTCTGAGGGAGGGGGGCTGGTCCATGCCTGCTCGTGATTACACTGTCCTTCCTTGGCCAGATTGAAAACTGGGTGACAGAGGGCCCCAGCGAAGACGAGGCTGTGTGTGTAAACTGCCAGAATAACAGCTATGGGGACAAATGTGAGAGCTGCCTCCACGGCTACTTCCTCCTGGATGGGAAGTGCACCAAGTAAGTGGACGGGCCTAGGTCCTTTACCCTATTCATTGGGCTGAGCTCTGGGAGTCAGGCCCCTCCCCAGTCCTCAGGAGAAGATGAAATCCCCAGGGAGCCCGTGGGCCAGGTGTTGGGGGGAAGGAGCTGGACTCAGATGGGAGACCCCCAATCTCAGAGGCAGTGCTGAGGTGCAGGCTACAGAGCAACCCTCATGGAGACTAGAGGGCAGAGAGAGGGCTACTGAGGGAAAGGCCTCAAGATACCCTCCCTGCCTTCCCTCCTTCTGAATGGTCAGCTCAAGCTGGGCTCTGGTCCTCACCCTGCCACTTAGCAGCTCTGTGGTCTTGGGTGAGGGCTGGACCTCTGTGAGCCTGTTTTCTCCTCTGAGCTGGTTTGGAGCTCACATATGCAGCACTTAACAGGGCCCCTGCAGGCCATGAGAGCACTATAACCTCCGTCTTCCTCCCCTCCTCAGATGCCAGTGTAATGGCCACGCGGACACCTGTAACGAGCAGGACGGGACCGGCTGCCCGTGTCAGAACAACACAGAAACGGGCACCTGCCAGGGGAGCTCCCCCAGTGACCGCCGAGACTGCTACAAGTACCAGGTGCGGCTGGAGACACGAGTCACAGGCCCAGGGCCCTGCAGCCCCCCGCAGCCCCCAGGGATCAGAGCTGGGAGGAGGCAGCCTGGCCCAGGCAGGACCGACATTGTGGTTTTGAACTCTGAGGTCATGGGATCAAGGGCAGCTTGATTGACTGTTTCTGAGGCCCAGTCAGTTTCAGGCCCCAGGCAGTGAGGCTGGGCGACCCAGAAATGAGCCCCTTGGGGGATCACTCGGGCTCATGAGGAGACAGACTCCACTGTAGATAGTCACGACTTAAATGTTGCAAATGCCAGAAAACCCATCTGTAGTAGCTTAAGCAAAAGAGAAATAGTACTGGCTCTCAAAACTGGGGTCTGGAGTCTGCCCTCAGGAGTGGTTGGATCCAGGTGCTCACACAGCGCCATCAGGAGTATCTCTTCCCTGCACAGTGACTGCTTTCCTTGTTGGTTTCTGTCTCAGGCAGGTTTCCTCCAAGTGGCAGCTCCGATATAATGACCTTGAGCTGATAGGGGATCTTCATGTCATTACTGACACCCATATTCAAATTCCTTGAGTCCATTTCCTTTCTTTGGCCAGGGTGGCTGCTGGAACCCCTGCATTAGCCACCAGGTTGGCTGCCTGTTGCAAGCTCGCCTCCCACAGAATGGATATTCCATGCTCCCTCCTTGGAGTACAGCTCCCCCCCGCCCCCTGACTTCTCTCTCTAGTTTAGAGGAGAGAGAAAACCCTTGTTTGCCTCAGCCACCCCCACCCATCTACAGAAACATCATATCTACAAAGATGCACTCACTCAGAATGCCATTGGGGCTTCACTGGCCTTACTGACGCTTGACATTTCCATCCTGGACCAGAATTGTTGCTTTCTTGATACAGAATCAGAGGCCCATTGGCCTTAAAAACACACAAAAAGAAGTCCCAGGGATTAACTCAGCCCTCCTCCTCCAGCAGCTCTGTCGGCAGCTATGACGCAGCGGTTTCTTTAGGTTCTAGTAACGATAGCGGTAGGGAGGATGGATGTGGGAGGCCCGTCACCGAGGGGCGCTATGCTGCGGAGACAGTGGAGATGGCACAGAAGCGGGAGGCTCTTCAGGGCTGTGCTGGGCCTTGGTGAGGTGTAGATATAAGAGGAAAACGAGGCTCAGAGACGTTCCATGTCCTCTTTCAGGTCAGCCAGCCAGTTGGGTTTGGAGCCTGGACTGATTCTGGTCTGATCCTAGAGCCTGAGTGGTTTCCACTGGACAAAATAACTGTGATCCATCCACTCATTCACACTTTTACTGAGCACCTACTATATGGCAGGCACTGTGCAAGGCGCTGGGGCACAGTAGGGAACAAAACGGGCACAGTGATCTGTTCTCAAGGAATTTACATTCTCATAGGGCGTCCAGCAACAAACAACTGAACAAGTCAGATAGATACACAGCGTGGTAGTGATGAGCAGTAAGGGGGGAAATTAAGCAGCAAGGAGGGCTAGAAGTGTTGGAAAGCGAAAATGGTAGATACTGAGACCAAGGAAGGTCTCAGTGAGAAGATGACACTTGAGTGAAAACCTGATGGAAGTCAGGATGCCAGACACACAGACATGGGGGAAAGGCAAGGGCAGCTGGAGAGTGATCCAGGTAGAGGATCAGCCAGTGCAAAGGCCCTGAGGTAGGACCTATCCACACAGTCCAGAAACAGCGAGACTGGCCCGCCCTGTGCTGGGCTCAGCAGTCCTGTGAGCCAGCCATGTTTACTACCTACGTACAGAGGAAGAACTTCAAGTTTAGTGAGGTTCTGTCACTAGTTCAAGGCTGCACAGCTAGTGAGGAGGTGGAGCCAGGATGCAACGGAGTTCCTCATCGCTGTGCCTCAGAGTTCCAGAGGCCTCAGCATCAGGTTGCTGTGGTCACTGAGTGACACCAGGGATAGCAGTGTTGGAGTTTAGGGTCCTGGCAGCGTCCACTCTGTGCCAGGGGGGCCCAGGGGGATCACAGAAAGCAGCTGGGCCACTTTGGGGACTGGGGCCTTGCTACCTACCAACAGGCACAGCATGCCAGTTTTGCTTGGGGGAGTGCTGGGCACTGAGCTCAGCCTGATGGCTGCCTCCACCCACCCACAGTGCGCCAAGTGCCGGGAGTCATTCCACGGGAGCCCGCTGGGAGGCCAGCAGTGCTACCGCCTCATCTCCGTGGAGCAGGAGTGCTGCCTGGACCCCACGTCTCAGACCAACTGCTTCCACGAGCCCAAGCGCCGGGCCCTGGGCCCTGGCCGCACGGTCCTCTTTGGTGTGCAGCCCAAGTTCACCAACGTGGACATCCGCCTGACGCTGGATGTGACCTTCGGTGCCGTGGACCTCTATGTCTCCACCTCCTACGACACCTTCGTGGTCCGCGTGGCCCCCGACACGGGCGTCCACACAGTGCATATCCAGCCACCCCCACCGCCACCGCCGCCCCCGCCCCCTGCGGAAGGCGGGCCCCGAGGGGCTGGGGATCTGGGGGGACCAGGGCCTGGGAGTGGGTCGGGCACCCCAATGGAGCCACGGGTGCGGGAGGTGTGGCCACGGGGCCTGATCACCTACGTGACGGTGACAGAGCCATCGGCAGTGCTGGTGGTTCACAGTGTGCGGGACAGACTGGTCATCACCTACCCCCACGAGCACCACGCCCTCAAGTCCAGCCGCTTCTACCTGCTCCTGCTGGGCGTGGGAGACCCCAGTGGGCCTGGCGCCAATGGTTCGGCTGACTCGCAGGGCCTGCTCTTCTTCCGGCAGGACCAGGCCCACATTGACCTGTTCGTCTTCTTCTCCGTCTTCTTCTCCTGCTTCTTCCTCTTCCTCTCCCTCTGTGTGCTCCTCTGGAAGGCCAAGCAGGCCCTGGACCAGCGGCAGGAGCAGCGCCGGCACCTGCAAGAGATGACCAAGATGGCCAGCCGCCCCTTCGCCAAAGTCACCGTCTGCTTCCCGCCCGACCCTGCTGCCCCAGTTCCTGCCTGGAAGCCGGCCGGACTCCCACCACCCACCTTCCGCCGCTCTGAGCCTTTCTTGGCACCCCTGCTGCTGACAGGGGCTGGCGGGCCCTGGGGACCCGTGGGCGGGGGCTGCTGCCCACCGGCCCTCCCCACCACCACTGCCGGCCT